TAAAGTCATTTTCAACCTAAACTGGAAGGAAAAATATAAATAGTGCAAATAAAGAAAAAAAATTAATTTAGATTCATTTTGGTGGGTTGTTTTTTCTATGTAAATATATGATAGTTACAACTTAGCATATATCATAATTTGTATGGAATTAATTTACATTTTGATCTATAAAATTTATATAATTAAAATCATTGTATATAAATATTGTATTTCATTATTTTTAAAAAACTATAGCTGTTATTTATCTAATTATTTTGCTTTACTAAGGATTTATTTGTGGCATTAATCACATTTTGATACTTTGCGAATTATGAACAAAGCTGATATTGTTTCTTGAATCTTATTTATTTATAAATATTCATTTTATAATAGAAGTTGTTAATTTTATTTTATACACAACAACTGGGAAGAGTAATCTAAAGCACAAAGTGCTTATTCAATGAAATCACAGAGAGCATGAAAATTGTTAGTGTTCAGTTTGATCTCTAAAATGTAAATGAATTTCATACAAGTTTCAATCTCATTCCATAAAATATCACATATGTTTATTGGGCAGAAATCGAAAAATTCAGAATACACATGAAATAGATATTCATCATTTTCTTAAGTAAATCTTTCTTAATAGTGTTTTCCTTACCGCTTCTTTTACCTGTTTGTTTCTAAGACTATAAATGATAGGATTCAAGAATGGAGGAACTATGGTATAAAATACAGAAAGGATCATGTCCTGGATCGTTTCAGTGTTTTCTGCAGGTCTTAGATACACATAAGTGATAGAAGTGAGGAAAACAGATACCACAAGGAGGTGAGGGACACATGTGGAAAACGCCTTCCTTCTCTCTTTGCTTGAAAACTTATTCACAGTGGAAAGTATGCGAACATATGACATGGTGATGTAGACAAAACAGCCACCGCAAACACCCATAGCAGAGACAAGTATTAAGAGCTCATTGCTAGATGTATCAGTGCAAGAGAGCCTTAGCAGTGGGGGAACATCACAGAAGAACTGATGGATCACGTTGGACTGACAAAAAGAGAGTCGAAATGTGTTGCCAGTATGTGCGCCTGCATAGAGGATCCCACTGAACAGGGAGGCCAATGTTGTCCAGACACAGAATCTGTGGCTCATGATAACTGGATAGTGGAGAGGCTGGCAAATGGCCACATAACGGTCATGGGCCATGATGGTGAGGAACAGAAGCTCCACATATGCACAATAAATTACCATAAAGATCTGAGTTGCACAGCCAGCCACAGAAATGACTCTGTTGTCAGTGAGAGAGTTGACACAAGCATTGGGGACAGTGACAGAAATGTAGCACACATCCAAGATAGACATATTTCTGAGGAAGAAGTACATGGGTGTGTGAAGATTCTGGTCAAGTGTGGTAGCAGTTATGATAAGAATGTTCCCCATCAGGGTGGCCAAGTACATCAGAAGGAATAACATGGAGTTTAGGCACCTTAGCTCCCATTTATCAGTAAAGCCCACAAGAATAAATTCAGTCACCATGGTAGAATTGGTCAATTCCTGGAAAGAGTTTTTGATCTGGAAAATAAAAAGAATAAACTATGAAAAACATAACTCATGAAAATAATTAAGAAAAGAAAGTATTTTCGTTAAATGTTATACTACTAATATTTTGGAATATAAAGGGTACTCCCATTATTTTGACCATTGTCATCTTCTCAATTCATTACCATAATTGAATATTTACATATTAAACTGCTAAGTATGTAGTTCTCCAATTCTATCTGTGGTTATGATACACAGTGATTTTATTGTATCCAATAGTACCCAGTCCATGGGATTCATTATGGTATTTATTACTGTTCTCTCTCTATCTCAAGTACATATGGCAATTAAAAAATAATCACTGCATTGTATGTAAAAATCACATATAATACACTTTAAGATGGATATGCATATTAAATGTTTCTTAAATTGAATAGCATCAAAATGAGGTGTGTTTCAGTTTTCTCAGGAGTTGAACACTTTTGTCCTACATATTGATATACATTTAGCTCATTGTGTTATAAAAAAAAATGGTCTAATTATCAGCAAGGATGCAATCTTCTACTTTTAAAAGATATTTATAACAATAGAAGAGTTTCCAACTTTAAAATATATTGGCATTGCTATGATAACAATGTTGGATTATTAAGCTCAATATTTAGTAATTTTAATTTGCAAGTAATAATCTTTTAGAAACTATTTCATTAAACATCACACAAGCTGGAGGAAAAATAAAATAATCATTATCACTCTTTCAAGAAACTAAATTCTATAGGAATTACTTTGGGAAGGACAGCAAAATCATATGTGATGATGTGATAAAATAAATTCTAATGTTTTGCATGATAAGCTATATAAATTATCTGTCTGAACTATATAAATTATCAACCTAGAATAAATTGTATTAGATATCATTTGTTTCTTATGTAACCCGGAGATAGCACTTTTGTGATACCTTCTAGATGTCATTTACAAAAAATAATTTAAGGAAGTCAGTCTTTTATATGAGAACTATGGGTAAAGTTCTTGATATCTACTATCATAATTGATTTTGGGATATAGCACCAAAACTGAAGCAACAAAATGAAAAAATAAAGTTATGTAAGGAGCACAATGGTGGAAGACCATGGGTGGTTTGGGGATGGGTGTGGTGTGGAAACAATACCTGAGGGGAAATTTATCTCTAAATTCATACAACATTTTTAAAGAATGTTACTTCAACTTAAAAGCAAAAAAGTGCAATAAAAGTAAATAAATAAAACTAAAAATTCTCTAAATAAAGGAAGAAATCAATAAACTACAAGAAAGCAACCTACATTTTGGGACTGCATACTGGCAAACCATATCAGATTATGGAATGATATTCAAAATGTATAAGAAATTTATACTACTCCAAAGCAGTAACAAGTAAGAAACATTTTGATTAAAAAAATTAGGAATTGATATGAATAGATAATTTTACAAAGAATATTTACACGTGGTCAAATGCCATATGAAAATGTTTTCATAATGGTTAATATGGTCAAATGCCATATGAAAATGTTTTCATAATGGTTAATAATAATACATAAATGAACACCCAATGAGATATCATATCTCAGAATTTGCACTGGCTATTTTTTTTAAAAGTAAAAACTACTGGTCATGATGTAGTGAACAGAGAAATCTGATGCATTGTTGAGGGTGTAATTTGGTACAGCCATATGGGAACAATGATTTCTCACAAACTGAACAAATTAGAGCCTACAGTCCCTATTTTCTAAGTACCAAAAAGAAAAGAGAGAGAAAGAAAGCTTATCAGTCTTGAAGACTTACATACAGATATTGACTCATCAGTCACAGAAGTCACAATTTGGAAACAACACAAAATTTCCTGTTAATAAATGATACATGGAGAAAAGAAGGTTGTACTCTCATTTGCAGTAATAACTTAGATAAAACTGAAGGATATTGGAGATAAAATAAATCAGAAACAAAGAAATAAAACTGCATGAACTCATATAGATGTGAAATCTAAAAATACTGAAAGCAGATGCAAAAGGTAGAATGATTATTTCCAAGGGAAGGTAGATAGGAATAATGGAAAGGTATTACTCAAAGGACCAAAATATTGGAGCTATGTAGGATGTATAAACCTATAACAATAATATACAGAGTGACTACTATAATTAGTGTTATGTTTAATAAATTAAATTTGTTAGAAAATAAATTTTAGGTGCTCTCATAATATACCAGAAAAGGTTAGAAATAAATACGCTAATTAGTTTGACTGAATTTATCAACTCTCTATGCATATGTATATGAACATTTTCATATCTTAAAAGATACAATTACATTATTAAGTTGTGAATGATAAAAGGGAAGTAAGTTTTATAGAACTATTTCTGAAATATTGCTTGCAAGTTAATAAAAACATTAAGATGTAGTATATCATTGCCTTATGTACATATAACATATATATTCTAATACTTAAATATGATTAATTTTTATCTTAGTATTTATGTCCATCTTAGTCTCCTTGGAACTTCTACTCAAAAAAATTTGAGGATTTTCTAAGCACATTTTAAATAAATGTTTGAAAATAAGGAATTTGAATAAAGAAAGAATTATCAGTTACAATTTATTTTTAGTAATTGAGCAGGACTCCATCATTTTTTCTGATATGACTGTTGAGACAATGGAAATTATAACAATTATAAAACATTTGATAAGAATTTGCTGTGCATGATATATTATTCAAAGAACTAGCCATGCCTTTCTTGAGTTGACTTACTCCATTTGCAAGATATTTTTCGATGAGTAAAATAAATACGATCATTGCAATAACTTTGGACATGTCTATTTTAAAAATAAAATAAATGCCTAAGAGAAGTAAAAGATTATAGAAAATCTAGATTTTGTATGTGACAGAAGAAAAAATGGAAGTGAAATAAGACAAACAGTAATAACAGAATACTTACTCCTGACGGTTTTATATTCATAATTCAAGGTTTCTCTTGTTAAGCTCATAAATGAAAATCTTAAAATGGCTTAATCAGTTTTTTTGTGCAGGCAGAACTTGAGAGATTCAGATGAATAAAACATACTTTAAATTTGTGGAAATAAGGTAATCATGTTCCACTTTATCTAAAAACGTTGGCCTATTTTTTCCCATTACGGTCATTGCCTCTGGGAACATAGATCTTACGGCTCACTGAGAGTTTCTCAAGGGTAATCTCAAGCAGGTAATAATCTGCAAAGCACAAGTGAATAATTATAATTGTAATTAAAAATTATAGTTAAAATTATAGAATGGAGATACGACCTTCAGAGATAGTACAATATATTCCAGCTAATGTGTCTGCTTTGTTCTGGGTACAAGAAATGGACATAGTCATTGCCTGTATATAATATGATAATATATATTTGCCATGCTAAACAGAGAGGAATTTAGAAAACTTGTCAAGTGTTCAACTGAGATAGACAGAGAGCAGAGTTGGTAGGTGTTTTTTTTTTAATTAAATTAAATCAACACCCCAATAATGAAAGTTTCAAGAAAGCCTTTAGTCACTCTGTGATGATACAAGAAAGAAACTAAACTGAAAAAGGACAACCTCATATAATTTTCCTTCATAAAATGGTGGCCTGGGCTCTCCCTGGTGGTGCAGTAAGTTAAAGCACCACATTATGTAGCTTACAAAAACAACATTAAATTTCTGAGACTAGATTTTTTTCACCACTGCCTGATAGAAATAAAATTTTAATAACATTAAAGGAGACAAGCTGTTGTTTAACCTGGACAACACATATAACTATCATTATTTTTAAACAAATAACAGTATTTCAAAAAAATATTTGCTGAAATCATTTTGAAAATATCAAGACCAACTTTTTCAATGGAGCCAAAAATCAAATTCCTTGAGCTGGGAGTAAAGACAGCAGAGACTATCTGGAAATAGATGCATATTTTAGACTCTAGAAGGACAATTTACTTAAGAAATTACCATAATAGCCTTATTCATCTTTACAGAGTTTTCAGTGTTCATTGGAAAAGCAGTCAGTCCTAGGTTTGCAACAGAAAATATGTAATCTTTTCTTCCTCTTAAAAAGATATCCCGGGCCCTCCCTGGTGGTGCAGCGGGTTAAAGCACAACACTAAGAAGCTTAAGCCACTTCCACATGAGTTCGATTCCCGCCTGCCCCGGAGGTGACCACATGGTGTGGCAGACCTCTCCTGACCCACCCGCTGCTCCCCTCATCAGTGTACTACTTCGATCTGCCTGTCCTGCACCCCACTCTGTCTCTGGTGAATCCTCTCACCTTCCGCATCTCTGGCCTGTACCCCAGTTCTGTACAAATAAATAAATAAATAAATCTTAAAAAAAAAAAAAAAAGATATCCCAGGTCACATTCAGGTTCACAACACCAATAGGCTTTGCTCTTTGGATCACTGCTTTTTATGGGGTTTTCCTCATTCTCGGTTGATGCTTTAGGAGTTTTACACCTGAAATTTCAAAGCACTGTGAGTGGGTGTTGAACATCTAAGGGCCAGCTTACATCTCCAATAGTTGAGCTTCGTAATCTCCACTTTGCCAGGTCTAGAGTAACACCCTTTATCAGGTTTAAAATAACTCAGTGTTTCATCTGGAGTCATAAAAATACTAGAACGATCAAAGTTATAAGTTACAGTTAAAATATCCTGGACATATTATATGTGTTTTTGATTCTATATCCTTGTTCTGTGTTTGTGGTAGTTTTCAAAAGATGAAGTTTGAAATTTTCTTCCAATGACAATTTCAAATTGTTTGAAATAAAGACAATTTCTAAAATCCACTCTTATGGAACAATTGCACTGGGCAATATGTGATCCAAATGCAGATGGGTTTCTTGTCATGGTTTCAACAAGATCATTTTTAGGTGTGATTCATTCTCTCAGTTTTAGTCTCCAGGCAGTGTTTAGCATTCAAATAATCTATAAGGCACTATTTACTTTCTGAGTGACTTCTGAAACAAACATT